CTGAATGAAGCATTCACTGCATGGTTACTGTACTGGCTTCTTTCCTTCTTAAGCCACTTCCGTGAGGGAAAGTATATTTGACGCTACATCTGTTTTAACAAGACTTGAGTTTTATTGTAACAGAATGGTGAAAACTTGAAGACAAAACTCTGTGCTCCAAAACAAACAGTGCTGTGTAGTGTAGGTCAAAAAACTGTCTCCCTTCCCCCTCTGCCCTTGCCACATCACTTCCTGTTTAAGATGGCTACCTTCTGGAAGTCCCCAAAAAGGGATTCAATTCCTTTCCCTTACCACAGGGGGCAGGGGCGCAACTACCCAGTTTCAGAGGGGTATGCAGCAACAAATTTAACACCCCCCACCCCCCAAAGACAAAGTTTATTGATAGGTCTTTCTAATAGGGCTGGGCGATATGGCCTAAAAAAATAAAATCTCCAATTTTATTATTTTTTTTTAATTCGATTTACGATTTTTTTTACGATTACCCACTTATTCAGGAAAGCAATAAGTACAAACGGCAGACAACTTAAAGCAAATTTTGCTTTTATTTAATCAAAAGCAAGACAAATGTAACCACCATTTCTGGACTGAGTAATTTGTAGACTAAAAGGTAAATCATTTCTATTTTGTTTAAGTTGTTCTTGAAGCTTTTCTGCAACAGATGAATACAAATCTATTACTTGTTATATTTTAATCATAGATATTTCTAGTTTGCGGGAGTCCCGCAAATCGTTTTATTCTCCCGCAAACTGCAGTGAGTGCATAACCGCCAGCGCTCGGCCATCAAATCTAGTCCCGTGCCACACTCTATTGCGCTGGCAGTGAACGTCTCTCAAGGGCCCAGCCCGACCCGAGGATAGTGACGGGAAATATCGGCCCGACCCGTTCGGGCAGAATAAGCTCTAGTTTCCTCCTACGCTAAGAAACAAAACTTCCCACTCTCACCGGTAGCCATGTTGTCGCTTGCTGTATGCTGTTTCGTGTGTGCTATGATCCAAGAAGGGCTGCTTTATCAGCAGTTACTTTTATCCTCATTGATGACACCGATGATGGCATACTTGAGCTGTAAGAACTACGAGATTTATGTGACCTCTTGGACACATTCGAAACACTATCACTTGGCTCAATGAGTATTTGTGGATCCTTTTGAACATTTTTCCACATCTCATATTCACTCATAAAGTTCTCTAATATAGCCATTTTAGTAGTAGTCTGGGTTTCCCCATACTGCTTTACCACAAGCGTGATTTAATTCACGCTGAAAGGCAGTCTGGATACCATGGCAAGATTTTTCGCCTCATTTAGGGAACCAATCACAGAACAGGGAGGGAGCAGCAAGACAATGATGACATCTAGCCACACACCAAAGCAGTTTGTTTATATCTATGGATTCAACATGGCAGCAGCCTTAGATATTGTCTTAAGTAGTTTAGAATGCAAGTTTATTTTAAAAAAAGAGCAGCTTTTGGCGTTAAACTTCACGAGACCCCAGTCGTTATTGTTGTCTCGCCATTAATCGCCTTAATGGAGGACCAGGTACAGGAGGCGGTCAACCTTGGAATATCTGCCGCTCAGCTGTGTCACGAGAAAGAAAATGCGATAAAGAATTGTCGATACCAACTTCTGTTCGGCAGTCCCGAGGCCTGGATGAGCACAAAGTGGCAAGACATGTTAGCCAAGGAGTTGTATAGTACCAACCTGCTAGGCATTGTCGTCGACTAAGTCCATTTAACTTATAAATGGTAAGTGGTATTTATTAATATCATATTGTCATTATGCCTGTAGACTACATAGTTACTGTGGTTGTCACAGTGCCACTAAGTTGTGTTGCTTTTCAATATCAATACAGCTAACGTTACCGCTTTAGTAGGATAACTTTCAGCTGTGCACACATACCCGAATAAAGTTGTTGACACTTTAGTCATTAAATTAAATGTTTATTTTTTTTTAACTTGTTAAGTACAAGCGCAAACAATTTCCAATGCAAATAACAACTTCAACATCTATGTTAAACTGTACTTAATATTGTGTTTTTCTAATTGAAACGATTGGCTATGAGCTACGTACAGGCGATAATACACCCAATAATACGGCTCTGGCATTCGTAAACCACGCCTCAAATACGGGAAAATGTGCATGTGGTTCCAAGACCCAAGTCTAAACGAGAATTGGGTCTGGCGTTAGCGCTCATTTTCTCTGATATCATCGGATAGTTGTTCTTGCACAAGCCTATGAGCAGTCTTGAATTCAAGTGACAAAAAAAATATCTCAGCAATTCTATTAATTGATTCCACATCACAACCCTCAGCAAGCAATGCCTTTACTTCATTCATCCTACGTGTGCACACACCAAGCCTTCCCCTACGCATAGAACTGAGTGATCCAACGCTTTGTCCAGCTCCATGGACATTTCATCAGCCATGTTTGACACAAACAAGCACAATCAAGTATCCGGCTTTCCATAGAATCAGCAGGCCACAATGTACAGATAATCATCAGCTTCTTGTACCATGCATTGATCAAAGCCAAAATTCTCAACCACAGCTTTTAGTAATAAGTTCACCCTTGTTTACTCACAGATTGGATGAATTTCAGAATCCTTTCAAAGCTGTCGATATGTGTCACTCGTGGCTTGATCATTCCAGATGTAGGCCTTGATTGGGCCTACCGCATGCCTGCATGTCCTTCTTGGGAGTTTTTTGACTTAATGTAGTGGCTTCTTTCCTTCTTAAGCCACATCCGTGAGGGAAAGTATATTTGACGCTACATCTGTTTTAAGAAGACTTGAGTTTTATTATAACAGAAAGGTGAAAACTTGAAGACAAAACTCTGTGCTCCAAAACAAACAGTGCTGTGTAGAGTCTCCCTTGCCACATCACTTCCTGTTTAAGATGGTTACCTTCAGGAAGTCCCCAAAAAGGGATTCAATTCCTTCCCCTTACCACAGGGGGGAGAGCAAACAGTAGATACAATATCCTTACATACAATATCAGTTACATACAACCATGACATTCAGCAACATTATTAATAGCCTTTTGGCTCCTACAGTTACTAAGAACTTTTGAAAAAACGTTATTGATACAAACATTTTGGTCATATGACACTTGTCATATGAGGTCATATGAGTAATGATTGTGTAAAAAATATGTTAATATTTAACAAAATATATTGAAATTGTTTGTGATTATATCACTATTTGTTGTTAATTTAAATTTTTATATTTTTGTGATGGGTTTTTACATTTTACGATGAAAAGTTTGGGTTGATTCTAAATATACCAAAATTGTAAAAATAAATAAATAAATAAATAAAAATAGCGGAAATAAATTATTGCATAGTAAAATGTTTCCAAAACTTTTTTAATGTGACCTTTAGATAACAAATTTATCTGTGACATACAGTGACTGTAGTTGAGGAAACACAGATACGTCTCGCTGACATTCAGTTGCTTTATAAATCCTGGATGTTATCATCTTCAGTGTTTTGCTAATAGTTTAGATGAGTCACTGCTGTTCATTCAGCCGACAAATTTTACTGTACCTAAAGGACACGCTCATAAATCTTTACTGAGAGTCCCATGGGAGAAATGTTACACAGATCATGATGGGACAAAGCTGTTGGTATTTGCATAGACACAAGCAAGTCATTAAATGCATGCACATGTACACACACATGCAATGCTTCAATAAACATTTATAGGTTCTGATTGACAGAGAGGAAGTGGAGGAGAGGAAACGGATGCAAACCAAGAGCCTCAGGAAAAAGAAGGCATTTTGAATAATCATTTTACTGAGCAACGATAAGACATGCAATAATCTGAGTATCTGTGTGCGTTTTGTGATCCTTTCCAAGCTAACCAGATCAATGCCCATGCAAATATATCTTATTGAACTTTTTTTGTTTTGCCAAATAAATTCAGTACACTGACAATCCAGGATTTAAGATCACAAAAATGTACAGTATACAGAGGACTTTTGCACTACACTGAACTTAAAATGCATAATTCTAATTAATATAGGCTATATATATATATATATATAATACAAGCAGGATATAAGAGACCCTAATTTAAATATGATCTTTGACGTTTGCTTTCCTTAACTCACACATGCTTAGGGTTGGCTACACACACCTGACATATACAACACACATATGCATCCATTCTATTTGCTCATGATCCCATTTTTACATAGTTTGTCATCCTGATCCTTTGCAAGCATTGTGTAATCCTGTCTATGTTACAGCTTGGTTCAAATGACTCCACTCTTACAGTTTGATAAACATCTCCCTCTAGTGGAATTATGTGTAATTGCAGCAAATATTAATGAGTGCTAGAAAGAAAGTTAGCACATATTTTACTGCTGACGATGTACCACATTACATTATGCCATCAACTGTTCATCAACAGTGCTCATTTATGTACTCACATTGCTTTTGCTGCCTATGTAATTCATAGCACTATATCATCATATTTATGACACAGAAAATTAATTAATAATAATAATAATTTTAATAAAATAAATAAAATAAAAATAATATATAATATAATTTGAATTCAATTGAAATAATATTCTGCTCCTAATATTTTATCTGCTCAGACGTAGACATGTATGGTAAGAATAATGTCTCATAGTTTGGAGCGGGTTGATTGCTTCAGTAAATGTCCTCTGCACACGTTGTGAGTTTGAGTCACTCATGCTGTGGGTTTGAAAAGCAAAACGCACCAAACATTAGGCTTCATGTTTTCACTCCAATCTCATTTCATAATGTCGTACTGTATGTAAACGTTTGAACTAACAAATGTTAATCCATAATTTTTTCTCTACTGAAGTGTTCATTTTTAATGATCTGGTCTGTTGTCCCGGGCCCAGGATAGGTTCGAAATAAGGGAAATTCATTCGTTTAATTCATTGGAGTGACAGCCAATCATTTCTTTCGTCCCGGTTGGAAATAATGAGCTGTGTTTATTGCAGCACTGAGAGGACTACAGACACTCGATTTGAGTTCTTTTTCAGAGTACTTACATTTTAATTATGTATTGGTACATAGATTTAAACAACATTTAAACATATGCGCTTGCACTTAATGTTATCAGAGAACCGGGGTTACCCAAGTAACCTACTATTCTCTTGTTTTGCACAAACATAATTTTAGCCTGTTGACAAACAGCTTTGTATACATGATTTTTAAAGCAACATTACACCCATAACTGCTTAACTTTTACAGACAAATTAACAGTTTGCAATGTAGCTTGCATTTCCAGTAAACAGTAATACTGCACCAGAAACATAAAAAGGTAAACAACAAAATGTATTGTAAACAGTAAAGTGCAATATTATTTAGCTAGCTACAGTCTTTTCTTGATGTATCCTTCCCATTGTGAAGAATCACATACAACTTGCACCTAGTCCAAGTTTCACATACATTTCTCATGATTTGTCTGTAGCCTTGTAGCATGAAGAAAAATGTGGAAATCTGATGGTGTTTCTTAATCAAAGATAAAGTTGAGTGGAGACAACTTATCTACTTATCAAAATAAAACTCAGTGCAAAGACTCATAATCAATCTCTTTACATTTTAAGACATGCAAGGATAATTTCAGTAGACCTACAGAAGAATAACAAAAGCTTATTTCTTTAAAAAACTGGACATTTAAGAATAATGGTGTAATTAATATTGTAGTGTTTGCATTTGCAGTTGTAGTTTTTGCAGTTTAAAGTTTGGGTCATCCTTCATAGCAGACAACAGTTGCCTTGTTGAATCTACTAGATTGTTCATGTTCAGATCCAGCTCTCTAAGGTGTGAGGGGTTCGATCTTAGAGCTGATGCCAGAACAGCACAAGCTTCATCTGTGAGACCACAAGATTCCAAACTGCAAAGACAACAAAATAAATAAATAAAATACAAATTTGAAAAGAAACCTCAGTGTCCCCTTTGAAGATTCTGTTGGCTGTAAGTAACTCTACAATACTGTACTTGTCAACTAATGTCTAATATCTAATGAGAGTTAGTAGATGTAGGTGCAAGGTTACTTATTGTCAACAACAGAATGTGTTGCAGGGGCCAAAACAAAGCAAAACAAATCAAAACAAAGTGTGACCACATAATGTTCTTACCGCAGTATCTCAAGTTTACAGTCCGGCTTTTCCATAGCGGTACAGAGCATTTTCACCCCTAAGGTTCTTGGTTTATTGTGAGACAGATCCAGCTCTCTCAGGTGTGACGGGTTTGATTTCAATGTTGAAGCCAGAGCAGTACAACCTTCCTCTGCAATGTTGCAACCTTTCAGTCTGTAAAAAAAAAAGGAAAGAAAAAAAAAACGGTAACACTTTAGAATACTGTATCTTACTTATTGCAGAATGAATTATTGACGAACTAATAGGTAATTCTTCATTAACTACTTCTTCACTACTGTTAACTACTAAGGAAGATGTGTTAACTAATCAGTATGTAATATAATTTTATGATTGTGTTAAGTATCAGTTAGTTAATCAATAACTAATGAATTCTGTCATACCTCCTGAAGAACTACTACTAATTATCTACTAATTAAGGTTCAAGAAAAATAACTAAGAAGTAACTACTGAACAGTCATACAAAACTAACCTCAGATTATTTGTATATTTTATATCCAGTACTGTGTGTGTCTGTTTTCCTCAGCATAGAATGCCACTGAGTAAATTCATGTATTTGAGGCAACGACTGAGGGAAACTGAAACTATAGAGAACTTATTAGTAATTAATAAATAAGTATCAAATAATTCTGCAGGAATTACTTAGAAGCTGGAACCGTATTCTAAAGTGAAAATATAGGGAACCCATTAGTAATTAATAAAGAATTATCAAATAATTATCTAGGAATTAGGCTACTTATAATCTGAAACAGTTTTCTGAAGCGAAAATATAAGGAACTTATTAGTAATTTATAAATAACTTTTAAATAGTTCTTCAGGAATTACTTAGAACCTGGAACAGTATTCTAAAGTGACAATACAGGGAACCCATTAGTAATTAATAAATAATTATCTATGAATTAGGCTACTTATAACCTGAAACAGTCTTCTAAAGTAAAAATATAAGGAACTTATTAGTAATTAATAAATAATTATTAGATAGTCCTTCAGGAATTACTTAGAACCTGAAACAGTATTCTAAAGTGACAATATAGGGAACCCATTAGTAATTAATAAATAATTACCACATACTTCTGACTCAAATCAAACTTACTGTAAATAAAAAAATATTAGCCTATATATATTAACGTAATCATCTAAACCTTTGTAAAATAAACGACAGTTATTTGCGACAAAGGCGAAGAGAAGTGAAAAAGGCAACAGTGGCAAGGAGGAACCAAAACTCCATCAGAGACAGAATGGAGAAAAACCCTTGGGAGAACCCAGGCTCAGTGTATGTGGCTACCGCCATATTGCCGGAACTTGAATGGTGCAAAAGAAGTTTAAAATGTATAAGAACTAAGTATAATAATAAGGTGTTATATACATGAGATGTTTTTGCTTATTTGCAGATCATAGCCTATAGGTAAATGTCTGCACTTATTTTTCTTATTAGTGCTGAAGAATGACAAACTGACTACTGTGTATGACTGTTAATTAGTAGTTACTTCATAGTTATTTTTCTTGAACCTTAATTAATAGATAATTAATAGTAGTTCTTCAGGAGGTATGACAGAATTCATTAGCTATTGATTAACCTCTTAGAAGGCCTGCAAAATTTGCCCGAAACGCCTAAAAAAGACCTATCCAAATTAAATTGCATGCTGTTCTTGAACCATTTGGAGTATATGCATGCTTTTGCTCTCTTTTGAAAGGTGACACTCAGAGGTTTGTTCCTAAACAGTCAAAATCACTGTAAGTCTTACTGGTCTTGAGTAATATAACTTTGAACACAATGAAAAATGACAAAAAAATTCCGCCTACATTTTTTTTGTGTAAACAGATGCCTGCAGATAACTACAGCTGGGAGCTATGAGCTAGAAAACACAACTGGATCACAGCATGAAGCCTTACCAAACAGAGTTTAAAATTTGATGATGATATCTAAGAAAATGAGTGTTTTACACATGTTTATCTAAGTGTATATCTAGGCGCTTCCCAAAAAAAGCCACTTGGAGACTCCAAATGACCCTTTGTGATCATAGACACATAAAATGCTGCTATTCTTGAATACTTTACTCTACAGTCATAATTTTGGGCTCTAATGAAAGGTTACATTTAGGGCTATCATATTCCTTAGCCAGATTCACTGTAAATATTGATGACACATAGTAACTGAAGCATAAACACATTATAGTGTTTTTTTTTTCAATTCTTGAAACCAAACTTTCTACAAATAAAGAGACAAAACAAGTGCTATGGTACTAAAACACTTTAATATTAGAACTGAAACTACATATACATATATATATATATATATATATATATATATATATATATATATATATATATATATAAATACATATATACACACACACACACAAAAAGTGTGACGACCTGCAGTGCTGTGTCCAGTGATATGCACAGACTTGAAAAAAGAAAAAGCCAGTTCTCCTCTGCATCTCACCCTCCCCGTCCACTTGTTGTTTAGCTGGCAGAACCTCTCTGGAAAGATAAATGATGGGGCTCCTCTCCTGATAAGGTGCTGTCATTCTGTTCCAGTATGTTGTTTTTTTCTGACTGGCTCCCAGAATTCACTCACTAATTTTCAGATGATGGTCTGTGATATATAAAAAAGGGAAATAATTTACAAAACATTGACATTATATGCGTGTGAATACAAAAATAAACAGAAACACATGCACACAAAGAACCAGGATTATGCAGTTCATGAGCGCACACGCACATCATGAGCTATGACATAAACAACACGACATAAGTTAGCACATGTAAACACACACACACAAGACATGTATGTTTTGCGTGTTTAGCAAATTTCAACTCACAAAAAGGCCACATATTAAATAGTGCTGTAACGTTACGAGCGCACACCAGAGAACCTAGCTAGCAGGTAATGCTATGTTTAACACACTCACACAAACACACACGGCAAAAGCTGACACACCTCAACTGAGGCATGTGTTTGTTTTAGTACACCTAAAACAAACACATGTCTCAGTATATACAGTCAAATATGTTGGGCAATATAATAAAACTTACTTTTCGTGACGTGAGTGCCGTGGCCACCATCCAAAAGGGTCCTCTGCTAGTCGTGCTAACCAGACAACAACATCGATTGCTCTCTTGCTCACAAATGTCCTCCCACTCACCACGGTCACGGAGAATACACTGTTCAATCACTTCTTCGAGTAATAAGTGCGTCTTTCTAATTATCTTTGCCATTTCACATCTGTTACCTCCTTTCACTCACCAACGCGTTCAATGTTGTGTTTACGCACAAACGCGCAGAGGATCACTTTCGCTTTACGCATGAAATATAACGTAATCGGATGATTCCAGCCACTAAAGCTGCATTTCAGTCTTTTCAGAAATTCATTGGCTATCAGAAAATAGCGTCATTTCATTCTCTATTGCAACTGGATAGATAAACTGTCACTCAAAGAGAGGTAGGTACAGATTTCACCAGGCGAGCTCGTTGGTTGTTGGAACATCAGAAGACACCCCTAACACTCGCCGATTGGCTAAAATGACCTGTCAATCAATAGTTCGGGGGTCAGCGGCCATTTTGACATACTTTTTTCTCCAATGTTTACGTTTCAACTGAAGTTAGACAGATCAAATAGTGTTAGTGCGTCGAAGTTGTGATAGCGCTGTCGGCTAACGCGAAATGCTACTATTGCATTCCATGGATGTTTATTCATATATACAATTGTTTTGGACTAAAAACTTCTTCAAATTGGATTGTATGGACGCTTTACAGTGAAACCAAACCATTTTTGTTGGAATGTGGACTAACAGATGGCTAATTGGTGAGTTTCTTCCAGTTTGTGTTGGTTTGTTTTGGCTGTTGGTGGTCTGACAAAGAGACAGATTGTGCCCGCTGTGTTGATTGTATCTTAAAATGGTTTACGTCGTTCGAATCACGAGTTTCTCAGCTTTCCAAAGATATGTATTATGTTTACTTTTGTGTTTGTTTTGTTTTGTCTTTCACAAAGTTAAACCTATAAACCACCCTGTTGGCCGTATACGGCACGTCGGACCACAAACAGGTTAACTAACTGAAAATTAACACAATCATAAAATTATATTACATACTGATTAGTTAACACATCTTCCTTAGTAGTTAACAGTAGTGACTTAAGTGTTAATAAAGAATTATCTATTAGTTCTTCATTAATTCCTTATTAGTTATGCAGTAAGTAAGATACAGTATTCTAAAGTGTTACCAAAAAAACTAATAATGTTGTGGAAAATAAATGTACAGTGGGGTCCAATGTCTAGGATGAAATTTAATTATTTTAGAATCTTATCTTTATTTCCAATTAAAAAAAAATCTACATTTTCAAAGTATCAAAAAAGAACGTTTGTGAAAATTGTACAAAAGGTCACATTTCCCATGACTTTTCCTCAGTTGTATTACAAATAAATGCAACTGATTGAATTTATAAAATGGTTAGTAACAATCCTTGATTCTGACTGATCAATAGCTGTGCTTTATTCATGATAAAACACGGCTATGACCGCTTCACTCAATGGTTCTATTTATCACTGTGCAACACTAGAGTTCCTATGTTGTTTTTATTTGAGCTTTCATGCATATTACACATTGGAATGCTGTTGCTGTTCACCGTCAAGGACTAATTTTTTTCTAGCGGAAGGAAGGCTTTTAGTAATTTTACTTCATGAAAGTTGCACTAATACATATTTTTTAACTTAATATTTGTATTGTGTGGTAACCGTTTTATAAAAGCATAAGGTCCTCGAGGCAAGTGTTATCTTGTGAATAAGTAACGGCTAATGGGGTTGCAGGCACTTGCTTACATACAGAAGCAATACTGCAGACAAAAAAAGGAATTAATGTGAAAGATACCAGTCTCTATTCTGAAAACTCAGAATATATTCTGACTTTTTGATACGACTCGTATTAAAATCAGTATTTTCATTTTACTTACTTACCGCAGAACTTCCAATTTACAGTTTGGATTTTCCAATGCAACAAAAAGTTGCTGCACACCGGAGTCACCTAGTTTATTCCAACCAAGATCCAGCTCTCTCAGGTTTGAAGGATTTGATTTCAAAGCTTCGGCCAGAGCAGCACAGCCCTCACCAGTGATGCCACAATTCGTTAACCTGCTGAGAGAATGACACACTCATTTCTGTCCCTAGCAATTGGCACACAAAACTTATTTGACAAAAGCGGTGAGTGCTGATCTTGCCTGATTATCTCAAGATTACAGTCAGAATGTTCCAATTCAACAGAGAGCCTCTTTACACCAAGGTTTGTGAGTTTATTACTAGACAAATCCAGATATCTCAGATGTGAGGGGTTTGATCTTAGAGCTGAGGCCAGAGCTGAACAACCTTTATCTGTGAAACCACAGTCTCTCAACCTGCAGGGAAAAAAAACAATGTAATAGACTGTGACATTTATTACTCTCTGTGACATAACCTTACCTCAGTATCTCCAGTTTACAGTGAGGATTCTCTAGTCCATCAGCAAGGACCTTCATTCCTAAATCTTTCAGTTTATTCCCAGATAGATTCAGTTCTCTCAGGTGTGAGGTGTTTGATTTAAGAACCAAAGCCAGAGCAGCACAATCTTCATCTGTAACACCACAAAGTCTCATCCTACAGAGAGAGATATAAAATAAATAATAATAATTATATATATATATACAGTGGGGCCAAAAAGTATTTAGTCAGCCACTGATTGTGCAAGTTCTCCAACTTAGAATAATGAGAGAGGTCTGTCATTTTCATCGTAACACTTTAACGAGAGACTAAATTAAAAAAAAAATCCACTTTGTTACATAACCATTGTTGGCAATGATAGAGGTCAAACGTTTCCTGTAAGTCTTCACCAGGTTTACACACACTGTAGCTGGTATTTTGGCCCATTCCTCCATGCAGATTTCCTTTGGAGCAGTGATGTTTCGGGGCTGTCTCTGGGTAACACAACTCCACAAATTTTCTATGGGGTTGAGGTCTGGAGACTGGCTAGGCCACTCCAGGACCTTGAAATGCTTTTTACGGAGCCACTCCTTCGTTGCCCGGGCGGTGTGTTTGGGATCAATGTCATTCTGGGAGATCCAGCCAAGGTTCATCTTCAAGGCTCTCACTGATGGAAGGAGGTTTTGCCTTAAAATCTCACGATACATGGCCCTGTTCATTCTTCCCTCAACACGGATCAGTTTTCCTCTCCCCTTTGCAGAAAAACTGCCCCAAAGCATGATGCTTCCTCCCCCATGATTCACAGTAGGTCTGGTGTTCTTTGGATGCAACTCTGCATTCTTCTTCCTCCAAACATGATGAGTTGAGTTTTTACCAAAAAGTTCTATTTTGGTTTCATCCGACCACATGATATTCTCTCAATCCTCTTCTGGATCATCCATATGCTCTCTGGCAAACTTCAGACGTACCTGGACATGTACTGACTTAAGCAGGGGGACACGTCTGGCACTGCAGGATTAGAGTCCCTCTCGGTGTAGTGTGTTACTTTTGGTAGCCTTTGTTACTTTGGTCCCAGCTCTCTGCAGGTCATTCATCAGGTTCCTCCGTGTAGTTCTGGGATTTTTGCTCACCGTTCTCATGATCATTTTGACCCCACGGGATGAGATCTTACCTGGAGCCCCAGATCGAGGGAGATTATCAGTGGTCTTGTATGTCTTCTATTTTCTTACAATTGCTCCCACAGTTGATTTTTTCACACCAATCTGCTTGCCTATTATAGATTCACTCTTCCCAGCCTGGTGCAGGTCTGCAATTTTCTTCCTGGAGTCCTTCGACAGCTCTTTGGTCTTGGCCATGGTCGAGTTTGGAGTGTGACGGTTTGAGGCTGTGGACAGGTGTCTTTTATAGAGTTAACGGGTTCAAACAGGTGCCAATAATACAGGTAACAAGTGGAGGACAGAAGAGCTTCGTAAAGAAGAAGTTACAGGTCTGTGAGAGCCAGAAATCTTGCTGGTTTGTGGGTGACCAAATACTTATTTTCCACCATAATTTACAAATAAATTGTGATACAATGTGATTTCCTGGATTTTTTTTTTCCTCATTTTGTCTCTCATAGTTGAAGTGTACCTATGATGAAAGTTACAGACCTCTCTCATTATTCTAAGTAGGTGAACTTACACAATCAGTGGCTGACTAAATACTTTTTGGCCCCACTGTATATATATATATATTAGGGGTGTAACGGTACACAAAAATCACGGTTCGGTATGTACCTCGGTTTTAAAGTCACGGTTCGGTACGTTTTCGATACAGCAAAAAGAAAGAAATGCCAGAGAAATTTCCTATTTGTTTAAAGAAAAAATATTTTTAAATAAGTGTGAGTTTTCCTAGATCTTGAAACTTTCAGGTTTATAAATAGGGGTCATCTTTGAAGGATGAACAAATAATGTTTTGGTCATCACATTAAAAATAACTTTTAAATATATATTTATTTATATAATATTTGAATTTTGAAGTGCTGGAAAAAGATGTGTGAAGTACTTGAAAGCATTTCACCATTCCAGCCAAACTGGTTCCAGTTAGTGTTCCTATATTAAATCCATGGTGAATGTTGCTGGTCTGTGGACGTAAAGTATTACTATTTCATTCACGTACAGCACAATCTTTCTCCTGGTTTCCATGACAGCGCTGTTTGATCTAATAGAGATCTACAGTTAATAACGGAGAAATGTGAATGCTTCTCACTAGATCTCGCAGCGATGTTATTACCTCAGTGGTGAATTCAAATGTTTTCTTTACCGGATCTCTTAGCGCTGTGTGTTAAGTGTTGCTTGATCGAGATCGGCTCGCGCTGCACAGATGTTGCTAGTCCGAACTGATAAACGATCCGTGAAGCACATAACGAGTAGCGCAGTTTCGTTCCGCTTTCATTACGCTTGCCATTTGATGTTGCGCAACGTTGTGTTGGCCGCGTCAGCACGAATTTTGCCGGCAGGAAAAATGGTCCAAACAATCGTTCGGTTTGTATGCGTGCCGAACCGGAAGCTCCGAACCGAAACGGTTCAATACGAGTACATGTACCGTTACACCCCTAATATATATATATATATATATATATATATATATATATAGTATGCTATTCCTTAGCTAAAGGTACAGTTAGTAATTTCACGTAATATAATGTTTTAGTGAGGATAATTCGATAAGTTCTCACCACAGTTTCTCTAGTTTACAGTGAGGATTCTGCAATTCAGCACAAAGATTCTTCAATCCAGTGTTACCGAGTCTATTTCCAGACAGATCCAGCTCTTTCAAATGTGAGGGGTTTAATCTCAGAGCCAAAGCCAGAAAAGTGCAACCTCTATCAGAAACACCACAAAACTCCAACCTGCACAAAAAAAGAAGTTTAAGGCTATGTTTACATGGAAACGATTCTGAAGAGAAAATGCAAAAGTGGCATTGTGTTATCACTTTTTATTCTGTGTGTAGACGAGCGTTTTGGGTGTGAAATCCGTGTGCAACACCAAGCCCGCGGGCCTGCGTACAACCTTCACTGTCAAGCAGACCTTTGCGTTTTTACGTTTTTACTCGGGAACCCGGCAGTGGAGCATTTTAAAGATTTCCACTCTGGAGGGTGGTTTCACTTTTTTGCGTTTTTAAGCCCCAAAAACGCTGTCGCCGTGTAAGCGAAAGGCACATCCGATAAAATATTTTTATGTTTTCACCCGCGAGCGTTCTCGTGTAAACAGGGCAAAGATTTTACTTCCTGGTTTTACAGATATGTTCCAGCTGTTTTAGCTGAAAGCAATTTGCATTGAAACTGTACATCCTAAAATATATCAGTGACATTGTTTTGTCTCAAGATGCATACCAGTTTTTTTTCCTCTAATGTATTTTTATAAAAGCTACTTAAAAGTCCTAACAGAACTAAGTCCGAATCCTTAGTCTAAACCTTGTCTGTAAAACAGGGCTTACATTTAATAATTCAATTTTTCATTGTATTAATATAAACAGCTGAATAAAACAAATGTAAGAAAAGAAAAAAAAACATGAGAAAAAACAAAAAACAATAAGATGAACTTACTTCAGCCTCTCCAACTGACAATGAGGATTTTCCAGTCCAGCACAGAGCAGCTTCAGTCCTGAATCATTCACAGCACTCCTAGACAGGTTTAACTCTTTCAGACAGCAAGTATTTGAGCTGAGAACAGAACCTAAGGTTGTATAGCCTTTCCATGTCAGGTTATGCTCACAAAGTCTGCAAGAAAAAATGTATAGTAATTTCAGCATGTGCATGTATAGACAGTGTAGGGTAAATTATCTCTGGAATAAACACCGTTTTAATAAAAAAAAAAATTAAAATCGAAACACTTCTAAATTCTTTGAAATAACTCAATGCAAGAAATACAAGCACTTATAACAGAAATACAATTCATATATATATATATATATATATGACTTACATTGCAGTTCTGGATGCTTCAAGCACTGGCTGTAGCCTTTGAAGACTTTCATCTGGCAAGACATGTGTCCCAACGTATTCATTTAAATCAAAAACATCTAGTTTTTGCCCTGAGGTTAGCAATACATAGACCATTGCTGACCACTGCGAGGCTGTCAGTGTGGTATTTATTCTTGACCCTGATTTTAGATAATGCTGGATGTCATCTACTAGGGAATGATCATTCAGTTCGCTCAGGCAGTGGAACAGATTGATCGATTTCTCTGGAGAAGGATTCTCTTTGATCTTCCCCTTTATGAACCTAACTGTTCGCTCTTTGTTGTCAGAGCTGCCTTCTGTCTGTGTAAGTAGCTCTCCTAAGAGAGTCTGATTGGACTCCAGTGAAAAGCCCAGAAGGAAGCGAAGGAAAAGGTCCAGATGTCCATTGGTACTCTGCAGAGCTTTCTTCACAGCTGTCTGATGGAGTTCAAATATTGAACTTTGGCCAGCACAAAGCAGAACTTTGAATAAAAGACTTGGTTGGTCTAATTCATTTGAGTTTTGATTCACAAAGGAGAGGTACACATATAACGCTGCCAGATGTTCCTGGATGCTCAGATGAACAAAGCAGTAGACTTTCCCCTGAAACAGCCCTGATTCTTCTCTGAAGATCCGAGTGCACAATCCTGAGTACACTGCAGCTTCTTGCACGCTAATGCCAACTTCTCTAAGATCTTCCTCATAGAAGATCAGATTATGTTTCTCCAGCTGCTGAAAAGCTAGTTTACCCAGTTTAAAAACCATGTCATCAGCTTTTAATTTCTTCTCATAGTCTTTCTCACGTTTGATGTTGGTCTGAAGGATCAGGAAGTGTGTGTACATTTGCGTGAGAGTCTTGGGAATCTCTCCACTCTCTGCTCCACTCATCATCTTCTCTAGAACAGTGGCTGAGATCCAGCAGAACACTGGGATGTGGCACATGATGTAGAGGCTCCTCGATAACTTCAAGTGTGAGATGATTTTATTGGCCAGACTCTGATCAGTGATTTTCTTCCTGAAGTATTCCTCCTTCTGTGGGTCATTGAAGCCTCGTACCTCTGTCACTCGACCAACACACTCAGAGGGGATGAGATCAGATGCTGCTGGTCTGGAGGTGATCCAGATGAGAGCCGAGGGAAGCAGATTCCCCAAAATGAGGTTCGTCAGCAGCACGTCCACTGATGTCTCTTTGGTTGCATCACGTAGATTCTCATTGCTGTGAAAATTTAAGTGAAAACGGCACTCGTCCAAACCATCAAAGATGAACAACACTTTATATTTATCACTGAAAATGTCCATTTTCATAGTGTTAGGGAAAAAAACATGGAGAAGATCTGAAAGACTGAGTTTGTCCTTTTTCAAATTGAGCTCTCTGAAAGGAAGTGGAAATATGAGGAAGACGTCCTGATTCTCTTTCCCTTCAGCCCAGTCTAGAATGAACTTCTGCACAGAGACTGTTTTTCCAATGCCAGCGACTCCTTTGGTCAGCACAGCTCTGATGGGTTGGTTTTGTCCAGGTAAGGATTTGAAGATGTCATTGCAGTTGATTGGGGTGTCCTCCATTGTGGCTTTCCTGGAAGCTTTTTCAATCCATCTGATCTCATGTTCATTATTGATCTCTCCACCTTCATATTCTGTGATGAAGAGCTCAGTGTAAATCTCATTGAGAGGAATGGGGGCACTGTTTTTTGACATCCCTTCATGCAAACACTGAAAACTGCTCCTCAGATCTGATTGGAATGCATCTCGATATTTATCAAGGAGTGAGGCATTCCTGGAAATCCAAAATTAAACCTGTTATTCTTTAAATACATTTTAAACCATTACTCACATAGTAGACCATTTACTTCCTTTAATATACAGTAAATACAATTATTTAATTAGGAGATTTATAATACCTGTACATTAATACTTTTAATACTTAAAATGTAAACTAAAGAAAAATAAACTGATTTAAAAGGGACTGCAAACAATAAATAGTAAACTACAGCTTAATACATGTCTGTGAAATCATCTTTTTTGAGAATCATGATAAAACCAAAGCCCAAAAAGTCATATAAAGGAGGGTTTTACCTGGATTCTTTTAAATCCAATGGTTTATCTATTGAATGTTCACTCCTTGAGGACTCATAGCTGGGACATGGAGAAGATCTCCCCATCTGCATTGAGCTTCAGAGAAACAGAGATATTGTAATTTAATAGTCCCAACAGTGTTTATTAAGTTGATATTATTTTTTTTAACATGATATCTTTTTAGAATCTTGTTGCTTTACGTGACGTTATATGAACCTAAAAATGTAAAAATGAAGCTTAATTTTTATTACCAGTAATCTAAATATTTTACCTGGATACTTTTAAATCCAATGGTTTATCCATTGAATGTTCACTTCTCTGGGACTCATAGCTGGGGCATGGAGAAGATCTCCCCATCTGCATTGAGCTTCAGAGAAACAGAGATGTTGCAATTTAATAGTCCCGTTTATTTAGTTGATATTATTTATTTTTTGAACATGATCTCTTTTTAAAATCTTGTTGCTTTACGTGACATTATATGAATCTAAAAATTGAAAAATTAAGCTTAATTGTTTTTACCAGTAATCTAAATATTTTACCTGGATTCTTTTAAATCCAATGGTTTATCCATTGAATGTTCACTTCTCGAGGACTCATGGCTGGGACATGGAGAAGATCTCCCCATCTGCATTGAGCTTCAGAGAAACAGGGATATTACAACATTAATTCGGCGTAACTTCCTGTCATTCAGATTGAAGTGCAGCACAATTAAGTAGGTGCAATTGAAAGAGAAAGAGTCAATATTAATAAAATAAATGTGAAAGTGTGAGTTATAAAATAACTTATAATTCAGAAAATGAAAAGTGAAGGAAGGAAGCTTTAATTTTATTTCATAAACCTAAATCATGATTATTTACCTGGGCTTGAGTTGATCCATTGAATGATTTCTTCTAATGACCAGGTCTTGTTAAATCTGATCTCCTCTGCTTCTGTCACGATCACAGACTCCTTGACTTCCCTATCTGTCCGCCAGAGGGCGTCCTCGCCAGAATACTGACTTTCCGGTACGATTTGCAATTCCCATGATACATCATTCCTGGACTGATCCCGCATCCACCTGCTATCACTGATCACACACGCACCTGCATCTCGTTCCCTTCCCACATAAAAAACACACTCACATTGTAACCAACGCAGAGTCTTGTTTTAATGCTGTGAACTATTCTGAAAATATCTGTCTGCCTGTCTGTCTGCCCATTTGTCTGCCCGTCTGTATGTCTGCCTGCCTGTCTGTCTGCCTGCCTGCCTGTCCGCCTGCCTGTCCGTCTGTCTGTCTGCCTGCCTGCCCGTCTGTCTGTCTGTCTACCTGCCCTTCTGCCTGTCTGTCTGTCCGCCCGTCTACCTGCCTGCCTGCCTGTGTGTATCCCCGCCTGTCTGCCCGTCTGCCTGCCTGCCTGTCTGCCTGCGTGCGTTTGACACTTTCTGAACTGATCCTCTCGTTGCCTGCTGCCTGCCCATTGACCCGCTGCCTAGTATCTGGATTCTGTCTCGCTCGCTGCCAGCCTCTGAACCCTTGCCTGGTTTTCACCACATTTGTGCCTGCTCTGCTCTGTTGATCTTGCCCGTGACTGACCTTTGTCTGTCAACCATTCTCCTAATAAACTTGTTGCAAATAAACCTGACTGATTCTGATGTTTTCCAGCAGCTGGGTTGTGTTTCAGTGAAATAGAAATGGTGGTAACATAATATGAAGTTAAGTTCTTACAAAGTGAGGAACAAATTTCACAGTCTTAATGATATTTAGTTGAAGAGTGTATTTAGTGGCCAAGTGTGTATAATAAGCCAAGATTGTGTGTTTTTGACAGCAAATAAAGGATTAGTTACAAAAACAAACATTGGTAACGCTTTAGATCATAGCCTGGAAAGTACTGCGCAAGTAAAACAAATTTACAGCATTACTTTATGTAATTATATACCTACTGTATAAAGTACTTACAGTACACCGACTAGGGACTCCGTGGTTATACTGGGGGACTTTCAGTGACACCTGTGACAGCTGTAGGGGTGTGATTGGGAGGAATGACCTGATCTGAACTCGAGTGGGGTTCTGTTATTGGACTTCTATGCTAGTAACAGTTTGTCCATAACGAACAACATGTTCAAGCATAAGGGTGTCCATCAGTGCACGTGGCACCAGGAAACCCTAGGCCAGAGGTCGATGATCGACTTTGTTATTGTGTTCCGACTTCCGGCCGCATGTCTTGGACACTCGAGTGAAGAGAGGGGCAGAGCTTTCAACTGATCATCACCTGGCGGTGAGATGGACCCAATGTCAGGGAGGTCCGTCCTGAGTACCTCAAGCCTCTGGATGTTGTGGGGCTGTCTTGGCTGACACTCCTCTGCAGCATCACATGGCGGTTTGAGGACAGTACCTCTGGACTGGCAGAACGGGGTGGTGGTCCCTCTTTTCAAGAAGGGGTCCGAAAGGTGTGTTCCAACTACAGGGGGATTACACTTCCTAGCCTCCCCGGGAAAGTCTATGCCAGGTAAAGTCAATTCAAACTAAAACTATTGTAAGCTGATTTTTTTTTTTTTTTTTTTTTTGCTTAAATACTGGGGAAATATACTACAGGGTAAGTACGATAAAAATACATATGCAATCTGATATCAGTGACTCTCAAACCTTAATAATAATAATAAAAATATTTAAAAACATACTTAACACTTTACCCTTTTTTTGACATATTGTTCCCTTATACCTACACATATTTATAGGGACACGATAATTACTGAAAGGAAGACTGCAAATTCATTTTTCTTACGCAGTACTTTCCAAAGTGTTACCAATAAAAACGTACTATTTGGCCTCAGTATTAATGGAGCATTCGGTCACAACATTTTCAGAATTCAATCCAGCTATAATGACTGAAAATAAGCCAAAAATAGCCATAGTAAGTAGCTACAAATAAAAATGCAATGAAAAAATACTGTCATGTAGTCACGTACTGTAAACATTCCTATTTTTTTTTTGTTTTTTTTTTTTTTCCTTTAACCAATCTAGTTATCTCTTAAAACAACAGTTGCTTTTGTCACAGTAAAAGACAAACATGTAACCAAACTACTTATGTACCTCGTGGTATTTACCTAATTCTTTCAGACAGGTTACCTGATAATGAGACTGCTTTCAAATTCCAAATTCACATCTGAAAGTAAAATAAAAACCAGCCAACAATTACTTATTCACTGTCTCATTTCAGTAGGCCTATATATAAACAATATTAAATTCATACATACTTAGTGTTAAAGCAACAGTATGGAACGTTTCCTCTTCGGTCGCTCTACTGGTTGGAAACGAAATTGTCCATTACCACTTGTCATAAATAATTTAGGCTACCGCAGCCTACCGTCGCACTAACGCTCGTTGTTTATCCAGAACCAGTTTTGAAATGAACAATGTCCACAGACAAGCGTATGCTACATGATTTCAGGAAAGGATCATCAGAAACGAAGAAAAACTAAATAATGACTATTGTAGCACTTTATGTAAAGCAGTCGAATTTTTGTGGTCGGGTTACGAACCCCGGAGTTCTGTGTTGCCAGTAAAAGTGATACAGGCCCCGTCAGGCAATGGCAGAAGTGCCTTTCACCCTGTTACCACTTGATGAACCACTGATAAGAGTTTGGAAACATTATTTTAAGGTAAAAAATGTTACATAGTGTTGCTTTAACAAAATATATTCAAAAGAAATCGACGTGTAAAAAGATAATAGATGAACATTCAGCAAGCTAATCATAATTATAAAACACATAAGAAGAATTAGCAACATTGTAAAATTCTAAAGTTTGTTTATACTCACTTTGGCATTCTGTAATCTTTATTGTATCTTATTGAATCTTTCAATCTTCATAGTAGCTAAACATATATTATCCGGCCCTGATGACAACAACCACGCAAATCAGTCAACTAAGATGTTTTCAAGCAATTTCTAACTTTCAATTTCTTTTCACTTCACATATATGTCCTCTCTCAGAGCACCACCCACCCTCAGATCACGAGAGTATCAGGTAAACAACTGCAAGAAGCACGAACAGGACAGACCAGTTTCAGGAAACATTGAAAACCCGTACCACATTCACAAAACATCTTAAGGCTAAAAGTAGCTCCAAACTTGCTGACTTAGGAGAACTCTAATGGTAAGATAAAATGTTTTGTGAGTTTCACTGATCACGGATCGCTTTGAGCACAAGAGGGAAACAATCTGTGGCTCCGCTCCACTCACTCCAGGCCAGCTTTTGTTTGCTTAGCAACTGTTACTGAAACAATTTTCATCTACAACGCCAACAGCATTTAATAATAAAAAACAAAAATGAATTGGCTTAAAAAATTTATATGAAATAAAATTATTGCAACTCACCCTGTACAATCTTGCTGTTATAGAGATATATGGCCGTAATTGTCATATAGTAGGCTATGTATCTACAGTAATATGTAGCACTAATTTATATGGAGTTTACAGCCTACTTTTTCTAGATGTCCTTCCTTTTTAACATTCTGATTGCTAGAGATAGGCTCCTTCTCATTCAAATATTTTCTAGTTGGGCGTACACTATTACAAATCATATGACAAACCACAAACCATAGCAACACTAAACAAACCAGACTCATTGAGAGAAGTTCATTATAATCAAAAAAATTAAATAAATAAATAAATCAATTTAAATTCACATAACTTGAATTCCCAGAGAAAAACTGCTGGATTGTTTTCCTTCAACATGTCTTTTTATACACAAATATTTAAATATTGATAATAAAAATAATATTTTTTAGATAAATTAACAACAATTGGGATTAGCTGCACATTGGACTTTATATCAATCTGCAACATTTACAATATAATTACAATATAAAAGCCCAAAAAATAATCTAAACTATTAATTGTAACAACTAAATATATTTAGGTTAAAAAAGAGGCATAACTAACTAAATATTAAAGATATTTTTGTTCACCATGATTTTGCCAAGTAAGACCAAGTTCATGGCTCAACATACAGTATTTTGCCAGCCCGAACTCCGCCCACAACATATTTTGGTCGGGAAGTTCGGTCTGGACTCGATCCATTGAGGAGTAATTATGATCAGACAAGAAACATTCTGACCAATCAAATTGCCAGGGCGGGCTTTAAATGATGATGGACAGATGATCTGCAGGGACGTAATCATCACGTTATCAAAGAGCGCTTAACTGATTTCCCTCAAAGATAACTGCAGCTGGAGAATTGAGATGTATAGATTCCGCTGTCGCGTCTGTTGTAAAATAAATCGACAGCACATTAATTTTAATAGACAAACAGAGAACTGCAATCAAGGCATTTGTCGATCGGAAAGATATCTTTGCCGTCCTTCCTACAAGATTCGGCAAAAGTGTAACTTATCAGCTGGCTCTGATGGTCGCAAAGAAGATTGGACGTAATGAAAAGCCTGTGGTCGTTGTGGTTTCTCCTTTGGTGGCACTCATGGAGAAGTAAGTAAAAGAAGCAACACTCGTTATTTAACTTCTAAAATAAGAAAGTTCTGTAGTTGACAAACTGCGCTATGCAAAGGAGTTGACTTACTGCGTTGCTCTGATTGGTTGTAGGTCTACAGACTATCCAATTGAGTGCAGAGTTTTTTTTTTTTTTCCTGGTTCGGTTAAGA